GTGAGTGTGTGTGTGTGAGTGTGTGTGAGTGTGTGTGTGTGAGTGTGTGTGAGTGTGTGTGTGTGAGTGTGTGTGAGTGTGTGTGTGTGAGTGTGTGTGTGTGTGTGTGTGTGATTCCAAGTACAAACATATCTTTTCAGACACACAAAGTCATGCACATCATGCACATTACACAGCCTATACTCATAAGCACATGATACCAGTAAGACTTTTCATGGAAAAGAAAATATAAAAAATTTGAAGAAAAACACATGACAAGCCTGTGCCCCAATCCTGCGTCTTTATAAATGCATTTAACTTATTTTACAACCTTTAATCCTTTCATTCACGGCCAGTTCACACACACACACACACACACACACACACACACACAGTGTGTGTTTGTGTGTGTGTGTGTGTGTGTGTTTCCAGTACAGGTAAGAGAGCAGAGATCAGGAAACAGCTTCCTGAACTCCCATCTCTTTTATTACTAGGTTTTTCTGAACAAGATCTTCCGTTACTTTAAAGTTTTCCATATGTTATAAAATTAATGCCATAATGATTTTTTATTATTATTATTTGTTATTATTTTTTAGAAAAGAAAAAGGTGGCAATGACTGAAATATTTACATGTTTATTGAGTTGTTTATTCATACATTAAACTGGGTTAAAGCAGCTGGAGGGCGACTGCTGTGCGTCAGATGATCTGACACTGGATCAGTTTAGTCTGAGGGGAATAAAAGGGCTCATTATGCAGCGTTGATGTGAAATATATCACATTTAATGTTCTTTGCCAGACAGCATGTGTTGAGGTTATTGTCTAACACAGAGGTTCTCAACTTTGGCCCTGGAGGTCCACTTTCCTGCAGAGTTTAGCTCCAGCCTTGATCGAGCTCACCTGCCTGTAACTTTGTAGCGATCCTGAAGACCTTGATGAGCTTGTTCAGGTGTGTTTGATTAGGGTTGCAGCTAAACTCTGCGGGACAGTGGACCTCGAGGGCCAGAGACGAGAACCCCTGGTCTAACAGATCTGAGAGTGTAATTACTGAACTTGACACCTGAATGAGCTCATAAAAATACTAATTCAACACAAACTAAACCTATACTAGACTAGTGAAGTGAATCAAATCAGACTGTCCTTTTGAAGGCTGAGAGTGGATGTTTGCCACTAGATGGCAGTAAATAATCAGAGAATAGTCACTGTAACCATGAACCAGCATGGGGTTCTCTCATAATACTTACTACATAATATACATATACTACATGACATTTTGTATTATATACTGTACACTGTATTAATCTAAAATATTTGTATTGCATGTTGTGTGTGCTCTGTCTTATTATACTACTAATAATAAATAATAATTTGTTATATTTATATAGCACGTCTCACACTCAATACACTTTTAAAAAATGAGTGAGAGAATTTGCCTTGAGCTTCAGAAAAACACTTTATAAATGAAACTTATATTACTTTCCTTTCCCGCTAAAACCCACACAAAATAAGTAAATTAATTATTGCTTGAAATAAAATAAACATTAACTGTAATAGCATAAAATATTAGAAAGACTTTCAGCTAGGCGTCATTTTTCAGCACGTCAACATTTATTTTAATTTAGTTTAACTTTATGTACTAAAATATCTAAAAATGAAATAAAATGAATAACTATATAGATGTCTTTATTTTAAAAATAATTAAAAAATATATAAAAATGACAAAAACATACAACAAAATTACTAGACTTTTAACTAAAAATAAAAACAGAAAATGCTAATTAATTTAAAATATTAATAAAAACTAAATTAATATCTCAGTGCTGCTAAAATAACACTGCTTGAGATAAAATGAAGTCCCGTCCTACATTTGTTTTTCTTGATGAATATTCAGTTTCTCTCATAAATATGTTACATTGGAGAAGTTGAAATTATTGCAAATGGAAATTGACTTTATATCACAAGTGCACTGTTCCAGATTTCTGCTCAGATTTTTTGTGAGGTTGTTCACGTTTTTAACTGAGGCCAGTTTCACACACTGGTCTGAATGAAACGTGACGTTCCCAGACTCACCAACATGTCTAAAGCACAGCACAAAATCAAAACGGACGTTTTTGGCTGTTAGTATTTATAAGGTATCCTTAAGGTTATCTATGTGTGTCCCAAAATAATGACAAAATTTGCATTTGGAAAATATATGTATTAAATATTTAGTCTCTCTGTTCTAACAATATGGATCAACAATTTTGATGACATCATTCTGCACTTCAGATTTTCTGTCCAATCAAATGCTCCAAATGTTGTAATAATCTTTCTTATGATTTAGATGTAAGCACGCTCTCAAATGATGCTGACTGTTGAGTTAAAATAATGCAATAAAACAAATGAATAAGCCCTGTATGAATTCCACCTGACTGTTCACATTTAAGGCACAGTCAGATATGTATCCAGTTTATTTCTACATGTGAAATATGTTAATTTTTTGCTGTTTACATTGTTATAAAAAATGGATCTGATATAAACAGCAGCTGTCTCAGTTGCGTTACTTTTAACGAAGTCCTGAGACTGTTAATGAGTCAGACTCATAATTAGACCCGCTGTGCGTCTATGCTTAACACAGGAAATCCAATCATGTACATGTATTCAGTGGTTCGTCCTGTCTGCTTCTACAAACCACATCAGTGTCTTTAACCCTGGCCAGTTTCCATGAGGGGGTCAGTGTGCGCGGATTTGATTACAGCACCGTATTTATAGCAGATCAGTATTGATCAGACCAGATCTGCTGTGTGAGAGTGTGAGTGTGTGTGTGTGTGTGAGAGAGAGAGAGTGTGTGTGAGTGTGTGTGTGTGTGTGTGTGTGTGAGAGTGAGTGTGAGTGTGTGTATGTGTGTGTGTGTGTGTGTGTGCAGTAGGTGCAGTCTAATGTCAATTAAGTTAAAGATGCTGTACATTAAGTCCTGATAGTACAGTTCAAATACAACCACAGACAATCTGTAAACCTTCAAAAGATGAATTCTGATCCATATATTTGCACCTCAGAGTTTGTCTTCTGATATATAACAATATTACTTAAAGTTGCACTTCTAAATAAGCCATGAGAGGCTGATACGGTGATCTGTTCAGAGACATGATAGCTTTAGCTTCCACACACGTTTGAGCTTCTGTTTATGATTTTGATGTCCTTCATGTATGAACATCAGAAAATGTTTATCTGTACTGTGAAAAGCCTAAATTAAATCTGTTTATCATATACAGTCCAAGAAGACTGATTAATCGATGTGGATTTCTTTTACAATGTTGCTTGCTTTGACTTTAAGTGAATTGACAAAAATGAGAGTATTAAAAAATAGAATATTAAAAATATCTTCATTTTTGTTCTGAACATGAACTAAAGTATGGATTTGGAATGACATGAGGGTGAGTAAATGATGACTGAGTTTTCATTTTTGGGCGAACTATCGGTTTAACTTGGTGGATAAATCAATCATGGCACCTCTGAATGGTGTATTTTCCGTATAGAGTCAGTACACTGGATTTGGTGTAGGGTTTACAATTTTTGAAACAATTTTCAGAAATTGCTAATAAATTACACAAAATAATTACAAAGAAATGCCAGGTAACACATTTTATTAAATGTGAAATTTTCGAGTAGAAGGACTTGAGAAAGAAATTTTCTTGTAAAACATACTTCAGCAATCTTTATTTTCAACTTTGAAAAACTCATTTTTACAATGATAAAAAAATAACATAAACCAAAGATTAATTAGTGAAACTTTGACTATAACAGACAGTGAAGAGCTCATTTTCAAATGTTACATGCATCTTGAGTGCATCTTGCATGTCTCTCGAGTTTTGACCGTTTCATGTTCTCAGCAATCAGTAATTCACCACACAAATCTTGTTCATTCTTGTTGCATGGGAATCTATATTTAATGTAGTATGGATGATATTTTTTACCGTGCATTAATTGGATTTGCTGTAAACTTTAATGGCAGCTGTAGCTTCGCCATAAACGTAAGTCTCCGGCTGGGAACTGTACTGGAATCCACTAACATGAGGATCATTCTGTGTGTGAGATTCAGCTCAGCTTGAGAGTCTGGATGAAGTTATCGTGCTGTCACACCAGTAGCTTGAATAAAGCATATTCATATTTTCTTAATAAAATTAGGCATTCTATCAGTTTTCAACCTCACATGTGTGACAACACAGAGGATGCAAGTTCAAATATTTGGAGAAGCATGAGCTAAAAAGCTGTTTCTCAGCACCTTGTCACAATAGCCAGCGGCACAAAAAGCACAGTGTCTGTCATTACCTGAGGTTCTGGGTCAGAAGAAGGTCATTCAGCCTGTCCCGTCTGCCGCATAGAGACTGTCGATCTGTTTACAAAACTGCAGTGAATGGAAAAGTCTCCATGCAGGTGAAAAACCCTGTCATCTTTCAGTTTCTGGATGCTATCGGTTGTCTAATGTGTCTTCCTGAAAAACCAAAGTGATTTTCCATCATGCAGCAGCTCATCTGTCATGTATTTTACCTGCCTTAAGGTGCGATCACATTGGCGAAATTTCCACAAAAGTACACAGGCAAAAAAAGGTCCATTGCTGATTGTGCAGCAATACATGAATCACTCAGAAGTTACTTTCAAACCAAGCAGTTTGCTGTTGATCAGTGTAATAATGAATTACTGTGACCAACATGACTTCCTATTTAGACACTTTTCAGCAAGCATCATTTAGCTTGTGTTAACCACAGACCTTATTTCAGGCAATTTAACCAAACACCCATTCAGAAAGTCCATTAACTTCAGGATGAACGGTGAAGTACTAAAATGCCAACTCGCTTCCAAAAATACGTCGTCCCTGCAGAGCTCTATTGAAATGGCTGGATTTCATACCGTGAAAATTCATCAGACAATCTGACCTCAACTTTAGACTGCATCATATTGTCTCTCTGTGACAGCGAGTCTGTGTTGGCCTCTGATCATCACTCCATCTATCTGATCCTGTTTCTGTCTTGTTTTCTCCCACCAGGCCGATGTTGCAGAGGAAGGAGTCACTTTCTGTCCTCTCTACATCAGAGAAGTGGCTCTTCAGTGGGGTGAGTTCAGATGTTATGTTGTTCTTGTGGTTCATTCACAGGAAGAGTGCGTACACAACAACAGGTGTTCTTCCTCTGAGTTTTGAAAACTGTTCAAAATGTGACCTGTCGGGTTGGGAAACAGTTTATTAGTGTATTTTTAGTTTATAATGTGTCTCAGTTAGGGATATGCCGGTATCAAATTTTCATGTTGCGATTAATTTGTTTTTGTCCATACAATGAAAGTCAGTGGGGTCTAATGTTGTGCAAAATATTCTTCAAAATATCCACTTTTCCATTCCACTAAAGAAAGAAATATGCACAGGTTTTAAATGACATGAGGGATAGTAAATAATGACAGAATTTTTAGGTGAACTATGTGTTTAGCCTAAATGACGTGTGTTTTCATATGGTTAGAAGACAAATAATGTCTTCTTAAATCAATTTCAGGGAGCAAATATTGTCAGCTAATAAAAAAAGAGTTAATTTTCAGCTTTGTAATGTGAGTCTGTAAGGTGGGAGAATATCTGTCCTTTCATTCTCTCTTTCTCCATGGGGTCTTCTTTGTGTAGATCTGGAATTACTTAAGTCACTTCACGTAAGTTACTTTCCAAACCAAATTTACCAGTGATAACCTGGTGAAACAAATGTATGCCATACAGAAACAAATCACCAACATAACTAACTTTCCTCATTTCCAGATGAAAGCATTAACCTGCCTTCATAACCAGCAAAACGTGCTGGGTAAAAAAGCTTAATCGTGACCAGATCAACACATGAACAGCTAGACCTGCACAAAACATCATACAGCAACCAGCGGCCATGGAAATTCATACTGGCTTTTCAAAATTACTTTTAGAAAGCTTTACCTCAATATATTTTTCAGTTTTTGACTGTGTCAGACTACCCACAAATGTACAAAAAATAATATAAATTCTTGTCATGTTCACTATATGTTCAGGGGACGATTATTCAGACTTTACTTCCCTTGAGCTGCCACATAAACAGTCATTCAGAAATATGAGTTCCCTTTCATGGGAACTTCGAACTGCGTCCTCTAGGGGTCGCTATGGGGAACGCCTCGTCGTGACCCGTGTCTGAAGCATACATTGAAAAAACACCAACTCGTTGGCCGGCGACAGCCATGACGTCACTACCGGTGCGACTATAGTATAAATAGGCGCCGTAACACTTTTTTACCCTGTCAAAAACAGCTCTTCTCAGAGCAAGCAGTTTTGTAGCATTTTCCTTTAAATGTTAATGAGCACTGCTGACCCCGCCCCTCTCTTCAGACCGCTCTCTGAGAGAATGTTTACTTTAGCTGCATTCATCGTGAAACTTGCTAATTAGCACATTATTAGGAAAGG